TATAATATATATATATATATATATATATATATATATATATGAGGATAGCATTTCTGTGTGCCCTATCAGATGGAAGTAGAGATAGACAAGTCTAACAAGGCCGCAATACGATCGGCTGGTGACCACCGATAAGAAATGAATAGACGCTACACGGGGACCGACTGGGCCCAGGGCGCAACTCATGAACATGACACTTAAACTATATAATTCCCTGGCCTTTGGTTTCCACAATGAAATAAGAGCCAAGATTAGCCATCGTAATTGCAAATGATATCGCGAACCGTGATTGTAGAAATTCCGAACCATAATAAATGAGCATGGTCCTTTCCCACAAGCTTTTCCGAATCAGTAGTGGAATCTATATGCACCTGCACCGTTTTCTACTCCCACTGCATTGTAATTCCTGAGGCTGCAAGTCCGTCCACATCATATGGGATTACGCGATTGCCCAACTAACGGTACGAAGTACGCAGGATGAACGCTGTTAAGTGGAAACCACTAAGACGAAAAGGGGCGACCGCGGAACTTCCGGCAACTCTGTCACCATACGTATCAAAAGTGGAACCAGCTATGGCAAAATTTTGGACATGGTGCCCTTTGTATCTCCCGATCCAATGCCTTGGTTTTCGATAAAGACTCGCCAACAAGGAACAAAACAGCTATATTGCAAACAAGCGAGTGAAAAAGCTACCAGAGTCCTCGGTCCACTTTAAATGGCATTGTTCACATTGATCCAGGCTGTCTGATCGGCGTTTGGTGGACACCCATCATCATCGACCGTGCTTCTATGATGTGTCGGAATGCTTATCATAGGCGGTCGTCCTTCTGTGGCGTGCCTGAACACATTTCAACCATTGCTGAACTGATCGATAGACTGACTAACCCGGATGCTTGCTGACTTCCCTACTGATAGTTTGGTGAAGTTTGAGAGTCTCAGTAAGTTGCGGGCATTTTGGGTTTTTCTTCGGGAATCTGACCTTGCCCCAGTGTAGACCGAATTCCACACCAATGTTAACAGTGACATATGCAGTGTGGGGACCAAAAGGTTACCACATTGTTTCCCAGGCTTCCACGTCCGTAAGCAGTGGAAGCTGTCAGAATTTATGCTCTGATGCCAACTCCTTTCAAATTGTCAAGCGGTTAGTGTCCAGTACATAAAACTTCACTCAAAAATACGTGTGACGTATTATAAGTATGATACAGCATAAGGTAAAATACAAAAGTTATGAAAGGCCTCAAACTGTATGTTTTATCCTGCAAGTACAGCTTTGTTACAAAAGTTGCCAAAAATGCCATTGCTTACAGAAAATCAAAACACAAACGAGATAAAAAGAATGTGGAAAGCTCAGGAAAAATTGACCAGGAATGAATCGCGGTGTGAACAACACAAGCAGTGAACAAAATTGCGTCCATTATGAAAGACATGGCAATAAAATAGGGTTGCAATCATTTAAAGTAATATGTTAAGGTCCTGGACATATAAGGTAATCTCGCCCGGTCGGTAGACTGAGAAGAGCGGGCATCCCTCCTCTGAGAACACACACACGATCAATATCCTCACGAATGAGCCAGTCAGCCAACTGTATGGCTACGGGGACTTCAAGAGGCTTGGCGTTTGAGCTGAATTCAGTGCCACCAATCACTAATAAGAGACCTGGTGTATTACGCACGACAGATGATTGAGTTCGTGTTCGGTTGCCAAGACGCCGTTGCTCAGCCCTCTGGCGCGCTTCCACGGCCTTGATCCAAGCAGCCTCCACAATAAGGCCTGCCAGAAATGCGGGAATAACGCGCGACTGACGCCGATCCCCACTCGGACAATCGACAAACTCCCATTCGAAGGGAGCTGCAGAGGAATTTTCTGATTCCGCATCATTTGACCACAAAGGTAGGTGTGACGGAGGCCGATGAACGCAACCAGGAATGCAGCCCCTAAACAACAAAACGTAAAAATTTAGAACAGATCCGTTTATCTATAAAGGGGCTATTCAACGAAAATCTGGCTTTTAGTGTTAATTTACGGAATACCAATGCGTGGTGTGCTATAACGGAAGTCGGCCATTGGTGGCATGAGGTGGGAGCAGTATGTTTAATGTATGCTACTGTTTCAAAACAAGTAGTGAAAAGAACAACAAAATATTCGGAAGCTGGCTGACGAAAACACCAATTGCCGTCGCTTAGACACTTGTGGCCCGCTGCAGATCTACGTCATGCATGCAACACCAACTTTAGAAATAAACGTGAACACAGCTGGAAAACGTGTACATGTTTACCAAAAGTGTGACTCCACTCGAGACTATCAGCAAGAGTATTTCGGTAGTGACCATTCCATTTGCGCCAATCGATTCACTTTCGGGATCACGCCAATCAATTCAATGGCCTTCAAGTATTCGTATTCAAACGATTAGTCTATCTGGAATAGGTGCAACTGACCAGGCTAGAAAGGTATAATAAACGTACGAACAAACCAAGAACACGAAGCTTAGTCAACCATCTTTTGTAGCACACAGCCAGCTTACTCGCCCGAATGAAGATGAGATCATCACAGTCGGCAGCTGGAAAACAAGTCACTGAACTGGGAACAAGGCACCGCAGGCATATACATCAAAAACTGAATATTGAATGACAGCAAAAAGTCACGAGAAAGGAAAAACCTATATGATCACCTATACGATAACCAGAAGACGGAAGACCAGTGAAATGATCTACCAAAAGATTGGATCAGCCGGCTTATTCACAAAATTGTTAGCTCGACACCTCGCAGAACGGCTCAGCTGGCCTCCATCGGCGAACTCTGAAAGAACCTCACACATCTGGAGTGAGGCCAGATAACAGGAAGAAAAGTCCAAAACAACTGGTGCCTTTCAGGATTGGAATTCTGGGACACGGTACAACAGTAGCATAGAGGCTATCGCCTGCTATGTGCGACTTTAGGTTCTCCACCTCGTCAGACAACCGGGGATAGTTGAGGATCAACTACACGCTAGTTTATCGCCAGCAAAGCACAGATGTCCCTTCTTTATTCCTTCAATATAGCACCTGGAATACACGTATATCCAGTAAAATGTCTACAGCTGATCAAACAAACTGAACAGGAGGAAGGATCACCTCCACCTCGTCAGACAACCGGGGATAGTTCAGGATCAATTACATGCTAGTTTATCGCCAGTAAAGCACAGATGTCCCTTCTTTATTTCTTCAATATAGCACCTGGAATACACACATGTCTACAGCTGATCGAACAAACTGAACAGGAGGAAGGATCATCGTTCATTCGGTTGAGAATACTGCTAGATTTGACAATCAGCGTGTTCTAACAGACGGGTCAGATATAACGGTTTCCATCTAGGAAGGCCACTTCAAAGGAACGACCTCTTCAAGTTTAAGAATGATCGCTAGAAAGTGGCCTCCAACGGCATTTCGGAGATTTCATTTCTTTATTTTGAACACCAGAGAATGAAGTGGCGTAAATATGAAGTTATAATCTTGTGTTTGTTGAACCGCAACAAATCTCACGTTTACCAAATGGTTCATAGTTATTACCGATGTTTGGGATCTCCATAGATCTAGAGCAGTGCTCCTCTTATATACTATTGGGAAACGTATCCTATCTTTGAGACTACTTTATTTGAACAAATCACTGGCAATTTTCCACTGTTTTTTTTGCCGGGATCCGTTTAGTTATAGGCCAATTTAATCTGTTTAGTTGGTGAGAGTGTTCGACCATGAGAAACACAGGAACGGATGCCTAGACTTGTTGAACTGCAATTTTGCCCCAGTTTTCCTTTTGTAACTATGTCACAGAATCCTAATAAACGATACCGATGGAATGAAGTGAAAACTGACTAGGTTACGTATCCGGCAAGCCTTACGAGGAAGAGATCCAGGAGGTATAAAAACCATCTGAGAATCATTTTCAACTACAAGAACGTTCCGCCTACCTACTGAACAAAGCCGCTTTCTGATGAGCAATTATTTGGTGATACGCTCATTGGAACACAATTCGAGAACTGCCAGTTATTCTCTCTTCTGTTATCCTGTTGGATAATCCCTCGCTCATTGTCACATGCGTCCTTGTGGTCGACCGGCGGATTCTTTCGTTAGTCACGACCGAAATCACAGTTGAAGTGGGCCCGCGCTTCCTGAGACGCTGCTCTATTACTTGATGAATACGTTGGACCCGAACTTAGTCTCATCTACGTAAAAATGAGAAGTAATTTGAAATCCAAAACAACTGAGGAACAAACGACCTCAGATCTACCAGAAAGAATAAAAAAACAAGTTATTGTGATCATATGGGATTTTTCCGTATCTCGCATTGACCTTTCCAGTGTGCCTGTGGTAGAATGCGATAATACGGAAGATTTCGTTTGGTTTGGCCTACCATAAACCTGAAGATCAACCATTGCGTACAAACGACAATATTAATTATTAGTGTCCATATCATTAATACCGCAGTATTACGAATAACAGTAATAATCATCTGGTGCAATGGAACGAAGGTGATGAAGGCTTACTTGGCATAGTCTTCTCGACTTCGAACATCCAGCACGAAACAGTCTGGTCGCAAAATGTGCTCCAAAACATCATCTGGACTGAGTAGAGACACCAAAGGATTATCTGTCACCCAACTGTTGCAGAGTTCCGAACCAGGCTTTTCCTGTCCAAGAAGGATCGAAAGAAGCCGCCGCTTCCAAGTGTTCTGGCCAGGCATTTGGAATTACAAGCCGCTGAAAGTAGGGTTGTGGTAAGCTTGGGGCAGTCAGTTCAGTTTTCCATCTACAAGTGCATTCCCAGCAATGTTCCCACTTATGTATTACCCATTTCCTCTGCCTACACATAGAGACCATCCGGTCGTATAGAGTTAACAAACCATGGCAATAGTAATTATGAGAAAGGCTTGGTTGCTAAAATCACACATTTTACTTGATATTCCTGCATGTACTCACTACTGTTCTTCAATCGTGGAGTATATAAGCGTGGACTGCACCATGATACGAGCTACTATGGACCCTCGAAGCATACCCCACTAAGTGACGCACGCTCCACGCGACTGGGGTCGCGTCATCCTCAAAACTGCTGACCGTTCTTCGCTGGATCTTAAAACTACTAACTCACAGTTCCACTGAAGCAGTGGATTGGAACGTCTAAACAAAGAGAAGGATCTGGTGGGCCGAGGAATTTGACTACGTGTGGAATCATTTGCAACGATATTGTGGCGGGGTTTCTGTGTCAATACTACACAGGCAAGTGACCCAAACTTCCCGTGAAAAAAAAAACCAAACGGGAACTTCGAACGTTGTGCAGCCTGTCCCAATAAGTATTCATACAGCCGAGGGAGAAATGATGATAGTAACAACGTCATCTCCGTCAGTTGGTCCATAAAACTTGCAACCCCGGAAGCAAGCGCAGGCAGGAAGCAACAATTACTTGTAAGATGCATCAACTTTTGCATGAATGTGAATTAGGCATCGAAGACAGACGACTCTATAGGAATAACCTGATTGTACCGAACTACATCATAGCCATTGTACTATATAGTTGTGAAACAAGAAGGGCAGTGAACCGGGAAAACTAAACTGTTCCAAAAAGCAAAAAGTCTGAAGAAGGGATGTGGAGTATGAAAGTACAAAAAACACGTTCAGATACACGTTTCAACAAAGACGGTAGTCATCACGCCAAATAAATTACCTCATAAAACGGACAGGAAGCACTGCCGCCTCCGGTAACGGAATCAGGTAGATTTGAATTTGCCTCTCGACCGCCAATATTCACATCAGGACCCACAGTCAGACTTATCGGGGTAGCTAGTGCAAATCGAAGCGCATCAGCTCTGCATTTGTCCAAATCAATATCTGGAAAGTTGGACAAGATTGTACACAACTTTTCCAGTCCAAGAGACTGAAATAAAGAAAAAGGAGACGCCCAAATTGAATCCACGTATCACATGATCATGGCTATTTGCTGAACATATTCTGTTAGATTCAATATTGTTGTCCATTCGGATTGTCTATTTGCACCATAATGGCGGAAGAATGAGCATTCTGAATAAGTAGCTCACAGACAGAGATTTCTGGCACACTGTACCCTAAAGCAAGGTGAGCAGCTAATGGCCCACCAGAAGAAAAAACATAAGCATCAATCAGCGGGTGCACTCAAAGGACGGAATTCACCATCCCCATCGCTTTTAACATGCACAAGCCAGTCCACATCAGCTCACCCTAGGTGGCCACGTCCTTCAAACTTCGAGGTTACAGCATCCATACTTAGGTTGTCCTCCCCATAAGCTGTGATAGGACCAGTCGGAAGAAATTCCTTCCATCCGCAACAGCAAAACTGTAAATTTGGAAAGAACATAAAAGATATCCTTGTTGTCTTCTACTTGAAAAGGGCAGTGGTGATTAGCAGTATTTGTACATAGGGTCTCCAGTATGGCAAAGTGCTTTTCAGGTACCCCATATCTCAGCGCACAAACCCAGCGCCTACTTCCATCAACAAAAACAAAGGCTGCAAGCATGTTTAGAAGGACAACAATGGTCGGTTGTTGGGGTTTCAGTACCTGGCGGCAGATGGAGATTCTGCCGCTAGGCTCGTTTCCGGCTACGAATCCAGCTTGAGTGTTTCCTTCCAGGCAGGCAACTAATTCGAGTACAAGTAATATTCCGCCGTCTTTAAGCAGGATGGCAAAACTTCAGTCAGCTGAGATGCGTAATGGTGCGTCAACTGTCAAGTTTACCTTCGCTTCTGTTGCAGGGTCGGTTGAAAACTACCAGAGGTATGATCACCGTACAATATTTTGGCGGCCAGTTAAACTGGTGCTGTCGAACCGAACCCTCTAGACGTCTTCCTAAGTTAGTACGAGCGAATGTATGTAAAGTCGAGTGGAATGAAATTAGGTGAATTTTCTCCACAAGACACAGGATGCGGTGCATCGGCCTCTCTGTTTTTGTAAATCCTTCACAAGTTCCTAACTACATGGATGTAATCGTGAACACTTAAAATACACCATCCCGAATGCGTACAGGACCTTTGCTACATTCAAAGCAGCAGAAGCAAAAAGACCCCATCCCAGATCAAAGCAAGAAAGCCACATGTTGGAACAAGTACTCACTTGCAAGTTAACTTGTTGATCAAGCTGCAAAAATATGGCAATGTAGAAGAACATAAGGAATGATGGTGGGCCGACAATCAAAGTGTCCCATAACAACTCTGTTCGATCCAAAGGCATTGCATGGGCAAACATCGTGTAAATCCAACCGGTAGTCAAGCCAACCAGAGGCACATTGAGGTTGGTCAAAGTGACAGCTAACCCGGGAGCGTGGAAAGCGAACAGACGAAACAGGACGTTAAAGAATGCCTTGAGACCGGTGGTGAACCCACCAGTTGAGAAGAAACCGGACAACTTTGTATGAAACAAAGCATGCAGACAGGCAGCAGCCAATGCCTGATCGGGATGACAGAGGCGCACGAATACGGCAGCGACGGAATCCATACCCTGTTATGTAGAAGGTGAAAAGAGTGCAAAATAGTTACCAAAACAATCAAAGACAACTTCGATACGATGATTGGGCTTAAGCTGGTCAAGTAGGATGAACGGCACAGCCGTTGAGTAAGTGACCATTAGGGAGAAACAGCCCAGGCTAAAACTAATCCAGTAGAAAAGTGCAGGAAAAAAGCGCCTCGTAAACC